GTTGGTCAAATTCGCTAATCCCTTCATTCAACAAGCATTTAGTGAGCACTGCACTAAATCCCAGAGAAACGAAGATGAGAAAGTCACTGTTGTTGCCTTCAAGGAGCTTAAGAGATAATAGAAGAAACTCATAAATGACAAAAATAAATTCAGGGCCATGTGGTGGCTCGTTCCTGAATCCCAGCACTTTGGGAGGCTGAGAGGGCCAGATCACTTGAGGCCAGGAGTTCAAGACCAGTCTTGGCAACATGGCAAAACAAATTGTCTCTACTAAAAATACAAAAATTAGCCAGGCCTAATTTACACTCTCCCCAACAGTGTAAAAGCATCCTATTTCTCCACATCCTCTCTAGCATCTGCGATTCTTCAAGAATCTAGAACTAGAAATACCATTTGACCCAGCAATCCCACTACTGGGTATATACCCAAAGGATTATAAATTATTCTACTATAAAGACACATGCACACGTATGTTTATTGTGGCACTGTTCACAATAGCAAAGATTTGGAACCAACCCAAATGCCCATTAATGATAGACTGGATAAAGAAACTGTGGCACATATATACAATGGAATACTATGCAGCTATAAAAAAGGATGTGTTTATGTCCTTTGCAGGGACATGGATTAACCTAGAAACCACCATTCTCAGCAAAACAACACAAGAACAGAAAACCAAACACTGCATGTTCTCACTCATAAGTGGGTGTTGAACAATGAGAACACATGGATACAGGGAGGGGAACATCACACACTGGGGCCTGTCAGTGGGGGTGGGAGTCTGGGGAGGGATAGCATTAGAAGAAATACCTAATGTAGGTGACAGGTTGATGGGTGCAGCAAACCACCATGTCATGTGTATACCCATGTAAGAAATCTGCACATTATGCACATGTACCCCAGAACATAAAGTATAATAATAATAAAATAATAATAATAAAAAGGCTGAGTGGAGTGGCTCACACCTGTAATCCCAGCACTTTGGGAGGCCGAGACGGATGCATCATGAGGTCAGGAGTTCAAGACCAACCTGACCAACATGGTGAAACCCCATCTTTACTAAAAATACAAAAATTGGCTGGGCGAGGTGGCACGCACCTGTAGTCCCAGCTACTTGGGAGGCTGAGGCCGAAGAATCACTTGAACCTGGGAGGTGGAGGTTGCAATGAGTCAAGATCATGCCACTGCTCTCTAGCCTGGGTGACAGAGTGAGACTCGATCTCAAAAAAAAAAAAAAAAGTTAACTCCCTGTCTGGGAGAGTTGTGTTAGGGGTCACATTTAATGTAAAGCTAATGAAGCTTACACTTTAGGCCCCTCCTTTGCATGGGACCTATCAAAATAAATAATCAAGTCATGAAAAAAAAAATTAGCCTGGCCTGTTAGTGCATGCCTATAATCCCAGCTGCTCAGGAGGTTGAGGCATGAGAATCACTTGCACCCTGTAGGCGGAGGTTGTAGTGAACCAAGATCGTGCCACTTCACTCTAGCCTGGGTGAGAGCAAAAGCTCTATCTCAAAAAAAAAAAAAAAAAAATCCGACATCATCAATAAACAAGGGTAACTTTTATAGTGGGTGCTGGGCACTGAATGTATTTTACAGGAAAATAAATGTCAAGAAAAGGGCATCATAAGATATAAAAAGAAGAGAACATAGCGGGAAACTGGAGTTTGTGATTCTGATATCTGTTCCATTCCAACTGCTCAAATCTGATCATGGTGAATTTGAAAGCATTATCTTTTTTCTGATGCTTGAACATTTCACTGCAATGGTGCCTGCTAAAAATGTGTTGATAAGGCCGGGCTCGGTGGCTCATGCCTGTAATCCCAGAACTTTGGGAGGCAGAGACTGGTGGATCACCTGAGGCTGGGAGTTTGAGACCAGCCTGACCGACATGGAGAAACCCCCTCTCTACTAAAAATATAAAATTAGCCAGGCATGGTGGTGCGTGCCTGTAATCCCAGCTACTTGGGAGGTTGAGGCAGGAGAATTGCTTAAACCTGGGAGGTAGAGGTTGCAGTGAGCCAAGATCACGCCTTTGCAATCCAGCTTGGGCAGCAAGAGCAAAACTCTAAAAAAAAAAAAAAAAAAAAAAAAAATG